CTTCACCTCTCCATACCCCTCAAACAACACCCGCCCATCCCGCTTCACCCACTCCCCACCCACAACCACATGCCGCACATCTCCCACATTCGCATGCAGGATCAGCGCGGCCACGGCGTCCTCCCAGCCCAGCATGCCGGGGCTGTCGCCGTCGAAGACGACGACGTCGGCTTTTGTGCCGCGCGCGAGGATGCCGAGATCCGGGCGGCGGAGGGCGAGGGCGCCGGCGCGGGTGATGAGGTGGAAGGCTTGGGTGGTGCTCATTGGGTTGTTGAGTGGGATGCGTTGGGAGTCGATGAGGATGGGGTTGTAGGCGTGTGCGCGGAGGCGTTGGAGCCAGAGGCGGGCTTGGGTGAGCATGTCGGTGGAGAAGGTGAAGTGAGTGTCTATGCCGAGGGCGGCTTGGTCTTGGATGAGGTGGGCGACGGGGTGGAGGTGGCCGTAGTGTAGTTCGGATTCGGGGGTTGTGGAAATGTATTGGTTTGTGTGGCGGAGGGCGGTGAAGTCGGAGGGGGTGATGAAGGAGGCGTGGGAGAAGATGACGGGGGTGGAGGTGTTGAGCCAGCCGAGCGTGTTGAGGAGGGAGGGCGTGTTGCCGATGGCCCAGGGGCCGCTGAGGGTGTGTGTGGTTACTGCGGAGAGGTTTTCTCTTCTTTGGGACAAGGGTTAGTCTGGTGGAGGTATGGTTGGGGAGAGGGAGATACGTACTGTACAATGTCCCAAAGTTGCTGGATCAAATCGCTAGGACTGTTATCAAAAGCATCAAATGCCAGACCAACTGTAACAAGCGAATTACTGGACAAACGAGGATCCCGCTTTAGTGCTACAAGTTTCCTCATCTGTTCCTCAAGTGTGTAATTGTTAGGCAGCTCATGAATCGCATATGCATGAACAGTCCTCAATCGACTGTCCAATGTAGCATTGAAAATGGCATCCGAAGTCTCATCATCCGAGTCTCCATGCGCATGGTCCAGCACCGTCGTCGTCCCTGCATTGATGCATTCCAGACTGCCGGTCAACTGACCCAGATACTTGTCTTCGGGAGAGAAGTTCTGGATTGAGGGCCCGAATTCACCGTACCGTTGGAAGTACTCGGCTAGCGTGGTGTTGGAGGCAATGGTCTTGAATGCTGTTTGCCAGAGATGGTGGTGCGTGTCGATGAATCCCGGGCTGATGATCTTGCCAGTTGCATCGATTGTCTCGGTATCATTGGATATGGAATCGGGGGTGGTGCCCCGGTAAATCTCCTTGATCTCATCGCCCTCAATCAGAAGCGAGGAATTGTGCAGAACTTCGATCCGAGAATTCTCATTGTTCCAAGCGATAATAGTAGCATCCGTGAAGAGAATGGAAGCGGCATTTGAGACGCATGCCAGGCCAAAGGCCAACGCAACTGGAGATGAAAACCGCATACTGAAATCCTCTACCCAGCCCAACCAGGCTCAAAAGCACACTCGGCCTTTATACCACCCACACGGTAAGCTATACATGATAGATTACCAGACTGTGATGTCAGGCAAGTGGGTCCTCCCTTCCATTTTTCCTCGACTCCACCAGTACCCGCTTCGAGAACCATCGTGGACACAGTCATGTCTGCATAGCCAAGCCAGCCCATTTCTCGCCAGATGACCCTACCATGCGCATTCTTCCGCAAGTTGATTAGGTGGACATGCGAGAAAAGGACCGGAATGATAATCACGACCGCAATGTTGGAGATTTCGATATTGTAGAGGAGCTGGAATCAGGTCACGTTGGTTGAACGGAGGGTAAGGCCGGTGGCTTGGGAGTTGTGCTTACGTTCTGCCAAGACTGCTTGTTTTCTGCGTCTAGGGTATGTTGGACCATAGTAGGACCGTGTTGAGTAGATTTTTTGGAAATTTGGGGACGATTTGGTTGTGTTGGGAGATTGTTTATCCATGCAATTTGTTGGAGAAATTGGAAGACTGATAATTGTAGCAGCTTCTGTGCTGTGACGTTGAGAGCCAAGTTGAGCCTTCTTCAGCCTTGCCAGCATGGGCTGACGTCGTCATGGGGTGATAATACCATGCCTGTAAACCAATACAGCATGCTTGAAGATCACGAATCCACTACAGCTACGGCTGCGTACCGAGGTATAAATTTCAGT